CAGTACCTTAACACAGCACTCCAGACACAGTCTGACGAATCCTACTTTTAAATCGAAGCATAACCTCCCTACTCTTGCATTCAATTCCCCTTGCAATATAACATCGTATTAGCTTTCCTGATTACTTTGTTTTTAAAATTCATTTGAGGCATGTGGGCATTGCTGGCTGGCCAGCATTAATTACCCATCCCTAGTTGCCCTTGAGAAGGTGGTGGTGAGCTGCCTTCTTGAACCACTGCAGTCCACCTGGTGTGGGTTGACGTACAATGCCGTTAGGGAGGGAATTCCAGGATTTTGACCCAGCGACAGTGAGGGAACAGCGATATATTTGCAAGTCAGGATGGTGAGTGGCTTGAAGGTGGTGGTGTATCCATATATCTGCTGCCCTGTTCCTTCTAGATGGAAGTGGTCGTGGGTTTGGAAGGTGCTGTCTGAGGATCTTTGTTGATTTTCTACAGTGCATCTTGCAGATGGTACACTCTGCTGCTACTAAGCTTCGGTGGTGGAGAGAGAGGATGCTTGTGGATGTAGTGGCAATCAAGTGGGCTGCTTTGTCCTGCATGGCAGCAATCTTCTTGAGTGTTCTTGGGGCTGCACTCATTCAGGCAAGTGGGGAGTATTCCATCACACACCTGACTTATGCCTTGTAGATGGTGTACAGGCTTTGGGGAGTCAGGGGGCGAGTTACTCGCTGCAGTATTCCTAGCTTCTGACCTGCTCTTTGTAGCCACTGTGTTTATGTGGTGAGTCCGGTTGAGTTCCTGGTTACTAATAACCCCCAGTATGTTGACAGTGGGAGTGGCGGGGGGGCGTGGTCAGTGATGGTAACACTGTTGAATGCCAAGGGGTGGTGGTTAGATTGTCTCTTATTGTTGATGGTCATAGTCTGGCATTGTGAGGCACAAATGTTACTTGCCACTTGTCAGCCCAAGCCTGGATATTGTTCATAACATGTTGCATGTGAGCATGGACTGCTTCAATATCTGAGAAATCGTGAATGGTGCTGAATATTGTGTAATCATCGGCAAACATCCCCACATCTGACCTTATGATGGAGGGAAGGTCATTGATGAAGCAGCTAAAGATGGTTAGGCCTAGGAGACTACCCTGAGGAACTCCTCCAGAGATGTCCTGGGACTGAGATGATTGACCTCCAACAACCACGACCATCTTCTTATGTGTCAGGTGTGACTCCAACCACCAGAGAGTTTGCCTCCAACACCCATTGATTCCAGTTTTGCTGGGCTCCTTGATGGCACACTAGGGGAGCAGAAAGTTCTGGAGCACCAGTCTTCAGTACTATTGCCCAAATATTGTTAAGGGCCATAGCCTTTGCAGTATCCAGTGTCTCCAACCATTTCTTGATTTCACTCCACATGATTTGACTTGGCCGAAGACTGGTATCTGTAATGCTGGGGACCACTGGAGGAGGCAGAGATATTTGCTGTACTTGCATACTAACCTTGTGGGATTCATGCACCGAGAAACCCTCTGCATCTCAGCTCTTCAGTCTCACCATTTAGATAGTGCTTTTTTTTTTTTTAAATTCTTTCTGCCAAACCGGACAATTTCATATTTTTTCCACCTTGTACTTTTATTTGCTAGATCTTTGCCTACTCACTTAGCCCGTCTGTATTCCCTAGATACCCCTTATATCTTCTTCACAACTCAATGGCTACCTCTGTGTCAACAGACAGTGTAGCTACCTTACCTTCGATCCTTTCATTGAAATCATTTATATAAACAAGTTGAGGTTCCAGCACCGACCCTGTGGCACTCCACTTGTGACATCCTACCAGTCTGAAAAAGACCCATTTATTCCTATTCCTTGCTTCCTGTTAGCAAGCTGATCTTCTATCCATACCAACGTTACTACCAACACTGCAAACTTTTATTTTCCACAATGATCTTTGATGTGGCACGTTATTAAATGCATTCTAGAACTATAAAAGCAATACATCCACTGGTACTCCTTTATCTACAGCACAAGTTACTCCTTCGTTTTTATATTTTCCAATCAACCTGTTCAGAGATAATATTACACACCTCTGGAGCAGATGGGACTTGAACCTGGGCCTCGTGTTTAGCAGTAGGAACACTACCACTGTGTCATAAGACCCCAGGTTACTTCTTCAAAGAAGTCCAATAAATTAGTTAAATATAATTTCCCTATCACAAAGCCATGCTCCAAGTGCCCCATTTTAACATCTTTAATAATAGCTTCCAACATTTTCTATGACAGATATTAAGCTGTAGTTTCCTGGTTTCTACATCCCTCCCTTTTTAAATAAAAGGAGTTATGTTAGCTAACTTCCAAGCCTTTCATTAGATCTAAGGAGTTTAGAATCAAAACAAATGCATCAACTATTTCAGTGGTTACTTCTTTTAACACTCTAGGTTGAAATCCATCAGGACCTGGGAACTTGTTAACTTGGAGTTTAAACGCTTTACTCAGTACTCCTTCCTTGGCAATTGTAATTTTCTGGAATTCCTTCGTCCTTTCCAATTCCTGATTTAATGCTATTTCCAGAATGCTACTTTTATTGAGCGAAGACCAGTGCAAAGTATTGGTTCAATTCGTCTGCCATCTCTGTTATGTATTATTAATTCCTCAGAGATTCATTTTCTAAAGGACCAATACGTACTTTGTTAACTTCTTTAAATATTGATAACTTTCCTAACTGTTTTATAATTTTGGCTAATTTTTTCTTATACTCCAATTTTTCTTTCCTTAATCTTTTAGTAATTTTTTGCGTTCGCTTTTTTTAATATTCTGTCTAGTCTTCTGACCTGCTACTTATTCTCGTGCAATTATTATCTTTTATTTGAGATCAATAATATCTTTGACTTTAATTAACCAGGAATGGTGGGTCAATCCCTTGGAATCCTTGTTTTTTGGAATGTTTCTACTCTGCACTGTCTGGAATATCCCCATAATTGTTTTGCCTCTGTATCTCTATTGACCTATCCCTTAATCTAAATTGTCAGTTCACTTTAACTCTGCTTTTAGCCCTCATTGTTGCCCTTGTTTAAATTCAAACCAGTAATCCTGGACCCACACTTTTCTCTATTAAACTGTATGTAAAATTCAGTCATATTATAGTCACTGCTACTCAGAGGTGCTTTCACTATGAGGTCAGTAATTAATTCTCTCTCATTGGTCAAAACCAGATCTATTATAGCCTGCTCTCTAGTTGGTGCCATAACATGCTGGTCTAAGAAACTGTCCATAAAACATTCAACAAATTCCTCTTCTAGACTACTCCCCACTCCCCCCCATCAAATCTGTTTTTTTCCCAGTCTATACGTAGGTTAAAATCCCCTTTGTCTTTTGAAAAGCTCCCATTATTTCTTTCTTGATACCTTGTCATACCATATGGTTACTGCTTGGGGGCCTGTAAAGAACTCCCACAAGCAACCTCGCCTTATCATTCCTCATGTCTACCCTGACTGTTTCTGTAACCTGATTTCCTGAATTTGAGTCATCACTCTCTCTTGTACGAATGTCATCTTTAATTAAAGAGAGCCACTCCACCACCCTTTCCTTGCTTCCTGTCTTTTCTAAACATAACATACTCCTTAATATTCAGGTCCCAATCTAGGTCACCCTGCAGCTAAATCTCAGTTATGGCCTCTAGTTCATACTTATTTATCTCAATTTGAACTACTAGTTCATCTATTTTGTCTTAATTACTATGTGCATTCAAATACAGTGCCTTCAATTTTGTTCTCTTATTTTTATAACTGAGTTGTATCTGATTAGGTCTTGAATCTGCATTCTCTGTTCCTTCCTGTCATTGTCTGTTTGCCATTTCCCACATTAATTCCTTCCTCTGTTGCATTTTGCCCCACTGATTCACCACAACTTCCCAAGTTTAGGCCCTTGACCCCACTATTCAGTTTAAAACCGCTCTCCATCCCTAGTTATGTGATTTCCACCAGTCCCAGTACAATTCAGGTGCAGGCCATCCAACTAGTACAGATCCCATTTTGCCCAGTATTGGTGCCATTATCCCACAGACCAGAACACACTGCCCCCACACTAGTTTTTCAGCCATGCACTCATTCCCTTTAACCTTGTTTACCGTAATGCAGAGACTACCACCTTTGAGTTCGTGCTTCTTAATTTGGTGCCTCCTTCCTAATTCTGCCTATGTCACTGGTGCCTACAGAGAGATGACAACTGAACTGTTCCCATCCCACTGCAAGTTCTTCTCTAGCCCAGAACAGATATCTTGAATCCTGGCACCAGGCAGACAGTACAGCTGTCTGGACTCACTTCCTTCGCTTCAGAGATCATTGTCAATTCCCCTGACTATTCTGTCCTCTATGACCACTACATTCCTTTTGGCTCCTCCACTCGAATTGCTTCCGGTACCATGGGCATTTTGGTCATCCATCCTTCAGCCCCCAATCTCATCCAAACAAGCCGAAAGAGCCTCAAATTTGTTGGACAATTGCACAGGCCAACATTCCTGCCCTCTGGGTCCCTTTACCTGCAAATAAGCATTGTAGCAGAAAGTCTGAAACAACAGCACTTCAGAAGTCTGAAACTGCATAACTACACATCTAACATTAAAACAAAGAAGGCTCAATTTTCACAACTATTTCAAGTTAATAAAAAGTATGCCAATTTTGCAGTCATTTCAACAGATTACCTTGATGATTCTTTTATCTTGCTATTGTTATTTTAGATGGTTAGTACTCATAAGCCATTCCTTACACAAAACTGTCAAATGGAGATCAACGATCTTTGATCTTTATTCTTCAAACTTTAAGAAAAACAATTCATAAAGTTTCCTCTTCTAAATTAACTGTTAACCTTTTTCACCAGAATATACATGCTGCTAAGAGTGACCTGACCATGGTGATAAATGGATAAGAACAACGTGTCCTGAGGTAATCAGCAAACAAGAGATCAAAATATTTAGACAGGTACAGAATAGTACATAATAGTGTGATTACAAGACACAACATTTTTGTTTTGTTTTAATACTTACTTCCACAAAGTTTCCCGAATATACTTCTTCAAGCGTAACTTCAAGGTCCACGACAATGTCACTTCCTCGAGGAATGTTCCGGTCTTGATGCCGTGGGCCTCCTCCAAACATAAAACCAAAATCCCCAAAGAAACTGTATGAAAACAAGATAATTTAATATGAACAAGCAACAATGTGTGAAATAAGAATATATAAATAGTCAAATTTGGCATCACATTTACAGACATGGCAGTCTCTCCAGATAGACTGTAGCTAAGTTATCATTTCTGACCCATTAAGACCAAGGAGTTTCCAAGTTCAATGCTTTAACCTTGCTAAATTAAATGATGTCAACTAGGAGTAGGGAGGCTGCACAAACAGCTGTTGTGCTGTTGGGTAAAGACAGTGAAGGGGGGGAAAAACATACTGCTTATTATTCACATTTCTGATGGCTACACAATTAGCTCTAGTTTAAAATTAGCCCTGTGCTTCAACCTTGTACTGTGACAATTTAAAACATGTTTCTTTGGCAAGTGAAAATAAATTCAGTATTTCTTTGATAAATGTAATCTTCCTTGGATTCCAGAGTAGAGTGTAGAACTGGTCACAAACAATTGTTAAAAATATATTTAAAATACATCTAAAAAGTTGCTAATTTAGATGATCAGTCATCTACTTACTGTGAAAATATGTCATCATGGGAACCTTGACGACCTTCCTTTAAGCCCTCTTCCCCATACATGTCGTATTGTTTCCTCTTCTCTTCATCAGACAAAATCTAACAAAATATAGTTCAGAGTGCTCATTAAAGTAATCATTTAGTCCAAGTAGACGTTATGGTACTTTAGTTCCAGCTACAATCACACAAGACACTTTCTTCCAAAATGAACAATCCATTTAGCACTACCCAAAGCCATAGAACCAAATTCTGAAAAATTCAAGATGAAGTTTAAAGAGGCTTCATATCAAGGTAGATAGACTTTCAACATCCCACTTTTATGGCAGAACACATTACAGAAAATAAATTTTCAAAATTTTGTTCTGCAGTTGCAAAAGTCCAGGATGATAAAGGAAGTCTTGCTTTATATAGTATCTTTCAAAATCATTAGATCTCTGCAAGCACTTTACAACTGATGTAGTACTTTGGAAGTGTAGTCACTCTTGTAGGAAATGTGGCAGCCAATTTGAACACAGCGAAACTCCCACAAACAGTACCACAATAATAATGAAAACTCTGATCTGTCTATTGATTGACAGATAAATATTGCCAAAGACACTAGATTGAACTTCCCTACTTTTATTTTAAAATAAGTGTTGTGAGATCAGCCAGAGAAAGGAGGTCAGTTTATTGTCTCACGTGAAGGACAGCATCTCTGATCAGTGCAGCATTCTCTCCATACAGTCCTGGAGTGAGCATAGATTTTTTTTTTCTGCTCAGACACTGGAATGGAACTTTAACATGAAACCTTGTGATTCAGAGGTAAGAGTATCATCAACTGAGCCATGGCTAACACAGCGCAATCTACACTTTACAAGCCCAACCTAGTCTAGATTTTAGTCAAATCTGAGGCATTCCATTGTGCAATTACTGACACCTCCCCACAATATCCAAATTCCTCTGCCCAAAAAGGGACAGATGGACTTTTGAAGTGAACTTAACTTTTCCTATATTGTATGTCGTCAAGAAATTTCCCAGAGGTTCCACATCGTAGATTGTTAGTAAGGTCAGATCACATAGGATCTGGGGGAGCTAGCCAATTGAATACAAAATTGGCTCGAAGGCAGGAAACAGAGTATCGTGGTAGATGGTTGCTTTTCCGACTGGAGGCCTGTGACCAGCAGTGTGCCACAAGGATCGGTGCTGGGTCCACTTTTTTTTTTTGTCATTTGTACAAATGATTTGGATGTGAATATAGGACACATGGTTACTAAGTTTGCAGGGAACACCAAAATTGGTGGTGTAATGGACAGTGAAGATTATTTCAGGGGACAACAGGACCTTGATCAAATGGGCCAATGGGCCAAGGAGTGGCACATGGAGATAATTTAAATAAACGTAAGCGTGTTGCACTTTGGTAAGGCAAACCAGGGCAGGGCTTAGCAATTAATGGTAGGGCCCTGTGGAATGTTGCCGAACAAAGAGACATAGCGGGTGCAGGTGCATAGTTCTTTGAAAGTGGCACTGCAGGTAGACAGGATAGTGAAGGCAGCATTTGGCACGCTTGCCTTCATTGGTCAGAACATGGAGTACAGGAGTTGTGACATCATTTTGTGGCTGCATAGGACAGTGGTAAGGTCACTTTTAGAATACGGTGTATAATTCTGGTCACCATTCAATAGGAAGGATGTTGTTAAACTTGAGCGAGTGTGCAGAAAAGATTTACAAGATGTTGCTGGGACTGGAAGGTTTGAGCTATAGTGAGAGGCTGAATAGGCTGGGGCTTTATTTCCCCCCGGAGTGTCACAGGCTGAGGGGTGACCTTATAGAGGTCTAAAAAACCATGCAGGGCATGGATAGGGTGAATAGCCAAGGTGTGTTTCCCACCCCCTCAGGGTCAGGGAGTCCAAAACTAGAGGGCATAGGTTTAAGGAGAGAGGGGAAAGATTTTAAAAGGCCAAGGGATAACTTTTTCAGGCAGAGGGTAACGTTTGTATGGAATGAGATGCCAGAGGAAGTGTGGGAGGCTGGTACAATTACAACATTTAAAAGGCATCTGGATGGGTACACAAATAGGAAGGGTTTCAAGGAGTATGGGCCGAATGTTGGCCATTCGGACTAGGTCAATATGGGACGTCCAGTTGGCGCAGATGAGTTGGACCGAAGGGACTGTTTCTGTGCTGGTTGACTCTATTGGAATCTGTTTTCAAGTGTGAAAACTTCTTGGGGCGCACAGGAACAGAGACCATTCCAAATTCTTTGTTCACATGCAAGTTCAAATTGTGTTAACACATCTGTGGAAAAGGGAGAGTTCTGACTTCCAATCTGTGCCATGTTTCTTATTTATTATACCCCAAATACTGATTAAAAGCTGAACTTTTGAAATCAACTCTGAAAGGCTTTGGTGGAGAACACGATAATCAGAAAACCTCAACTGTACTAAAATAAAGTCATTCATGACTGGGTGTGGCAAGGGGAAGAACACTTTTTTCTAGGGGATGAAATAGCACATCAAATCAATTAACAGGATTTAGGATTATTCTTGCTATTTTAATTTGGAATTTGAAATTGAGGCTGGTACTTTCAAGTTAACACTCTTATCTTAACCATGCTTCTGATAAACACAGAAAACGTGGGTAATGGACATTCTGGTTTGCCAGCTTTCAAACACTGTTCCAGGTATTACTTAGCAAAGGCTCAGGTGATACATATTCAAGTTAGATATCTGAGTGAGCTACAAAGAAGTTTGAATTCTCTTTCATTCCCTCTACTTTCAATCTTTACAGGAGGTATGCCAAATTCAGGCAAGTTGATTGATAACATGATTGTGCAAGATTTTCGTTTTAAGTTTCTACCTCAAGAAAAAAAGGTGCTAGTTTTAAAAACACTCGCCTAATTATGAGACTAATACAAATTAAACTGTAGCAAAAAGAGGAAAATAACAACTTTTTTAACAAAAGTGTTGGCCTGAGTTCAATCAAAAATTGTTCCCTATTTAAGCACATGATGTGATCCATTTTGTAGATGTTAAGATACATAAAATTAGAAAGGTACATCATAATCAG